CAAAGTATTAGGACACATAGAACAAAAATTTAGTTTCCTTCTTTTCTCTTTTCCTCTTTGTCACTCTTCTTCATTTGATTTCGTCTTCTCATTTTTTTTGGAATAGCTAATATTCTTTGCTCCCTCCCCTAATTACCAAATAAAAAGGGGAAAAAATGTTCTTCGCTTTTCTTTTAATATAGAGATACAGGGAAAGGGATTGCCTGAAAAATATGGGGGTCCCAAAGGGCAGACACAAAACAAAAAATCATTCTGGCTTCCTTCTGTCCTCTCTTTCTCACTTTTCTTCCTTCGATTTTGCCTTCTCTTTCTCACGTTCTTTGCTTCCTCCTCTCATTACCAAAAAAATAAGCTAATGTTCTTAGCTTTAAATTCTTTTAAAATCAAGATAAGGGAAAGGGATTTCTCGTAATTTACGGTTCCCAAAGTATTAGGAAAAATTATTTCCAGGTTCCTTCTTTCCTCTTTCTTGCTTTTCTTCCTTTGATATTTGTCTTCTCATTATTTAAAATTGCTAATGTTCTTTGCTTCCTACCGTCAATTTCCTTTTTTCCTTTTCTTGCTTTTCTTCCTTTGATTTTGTTTTCTCATTTTTTGGAATAGCTAATGTTCCTTGCCTCCTCCCATCATTACCAACCAAATACTATTTGCTACACATTTTGATTTAATACGTATTACACAATATATTTATTAAAAAATTATTATTATTTATTTAAAATTAAAAACAGATAAATACAAAGAGGTAGTCATATATAGGGATACAAGAATTAGATAAATCAACTATATATATATATTGTATTTTAATAATTAAATTGAACCAATTGTTAACAAATTTTAAATTAAGAGTATATCAATCATTTTTATTAAAAAAAAAAGGCAAATATTATTTGCTTTTCTTTCCCTGCATCGACGTAAAGGAAAAGGGATAGTGTGAAACTGATGGGTCCCAAAGTATTAGGAGACACAAAATAAAAATTGGAAAATGATTTTGGGGTAATATTTTTGTATCATATTTTTATACAACTTGACGTGTCATTTAAATGATTAATTTTTTTTATTCATGTGGAACTCTTGATATTAAATACATCTACTCATTTAATGATCCATAAAAGTTATATTAAAAATGATATAAAAATAATATCCCTATACCACTGCCCATAAAAATTACTCCAATTTCCTCCCTTTTTTACCTTGTGGCTTTTCTTCCTTTGACTTTTTCTTCTCATTTTTGGAATAGCTAATGTTCTTTGTTCCCTCCCCTCATTACCAGAGAGAGAGAAGCTGATGTTCTTCGCTTTTCTTTTAATATTTATCAGGATCCAGTAAAAGAGATTGGTTAGAATTGATGGATTTGAAAGTATTAAGGGACGCAAAATAAAAATTATTCCAGTTTCCTTCTTTCTTCTTTTAACTTCTTGTCATTTTTCTTCCTTTGTTTTTGTCTTCTCATTTTTTCTACTACCTCCGGCTCCATTTTATTCGTTACATTTTTATTTCACACAATTAAAAAAAATTATGAAGATTCATAAAAATACTCTTATTACTAATAAAATTTTCATATATTTACTCTTATTAATGAGAGTGGTTGGAAAGTTAAGATATGTTTTTTTTAAGAATTAATTAATTATTAATATGAGAAAATTTAAAAAAAAATTAAAATTAACAAATAAATCAGACCATCTACTTTTAACAAATGTGACAAGTAAGATGGTTTAGAGATAAAAATAGCTAATGTTTTTAGCTCCCTCTTTTAGTTCCCTCCCCCCTCTTTAAAATAAAAAATTCACTTTTCTTTTAAATGTTACAAAAATTAAAAATTTTAGTTGATATATATTAATTGGTGAATCCCAATGTAATGTTTCCAACTATTAATTTTAGTTTAGTTTGGATGTATAATTTAAAAAGACACTAACTGTTTTTCGTGCAATTAAAATATTCCATATCATATCAAATGAGTTAATATCATTGGTAAGGAAGATATGGACAGGAATTAATTTGATTATATCACATCTCACTTTCTTCTCATTCTACATCAATCAATTTAAAAAATAAAATGGAAAAAATTGACAAAAGAGGCGGCTTATATCCATTTTTAATTGGATCTTAAGAATGTTGTAACGGGTACTTTTAATAATTTAAGTGGTTTAAAAATTTTAATCATGTATGTGTGAAGATGTCAAGATTGGAAAGTTATTGCCTGGAATTAATGGAAAGCAAAGTTTTTTTTTTTTTTTTTTGGGTAAATATGGACCGCAAAATATAACAAAGATTATTCCAATAATTTCCCTTTTTTCTTTTTCTCTCTAGCTTTTCTTCGTTTGATTTCTTCCTTCTCATTACTTGGAATGGCTAATTAATGTTCGTTGCCTCCGCCCCTGGTTTCAAAAGAAAAAGGAAGAAGTAGAATGCTAATGTTCTTCTCTTTTCTTTTAATATCGTGATACAAGGAAAGGAATTGCTTGGAATGAATGGGTCCTAAAGTAGGACACACAGAACAAAACTTATTCCAGTTTCCTTCCTTTTTCCTCGCTTTTATTCCTTTATTTTTTTCTTATTTTTTTAAAGAAAATTTTTTTAATATAAGTCATTGTGGAAGATGTTAAGTATACAATAAATATGTTTTATAGTCATAAATTTATATTAAAATATAAAAATTAACTTTTAATTTATCAACTATCTAATTAAGTTTATTTACATAGCATTGATACTAATATATATTCAATTTATTAGCTATCCAATTAAATTTACATAGGTGGCATTGGTACTAATATAGAAAATGATTTAGAGACAACCTATTTTGCACAACTTTTTATACAATGTTATGTATAATTTAAAGACTTACTTGTTTCATTTAGGGTTTACATATGCTATAATATACATCTACTTATTTAATAATATATAGAAGTTATACAAAAATGTTGCCTTTATATTATTATCTATTTTAATATTAATAAGGTTTGTCTAATCTACGTCTTAAATTTATCTATGTGGCATTGGCACGTGTTAAGAATATCTTAAATGTAATTTTTATACATTAATTTACTTAGAAAAATAAAATAGTCAGAATTAATTTTAAAGAAAAGTGTTTTGCAATTTGTACCCTCAATTTTTTTGGAGGATATGTACTAACTTTTGAGTTGAAAATTTTATTTATATAGATCATGCATATAAATTTTTATGTTGATCTCTAGTAAGTTTAATTACTTCGTTAATTATAAAAAATTTAATATCATTAAATATATGTCAGTAAATAGAGTTATTTTGATAAAATAGTTATAAATATTAAATTAATATGAAAATTGATATGTATAATCTATATAAATAAAATTTTTTAATCTAATGGACAATTTTCCAAAATGCTAATTAGAATGTGAATTTTTAAATAGTTTCCCCAAAAAAAAAAATTTAGGAAGGCAAACTTGTCGAATACTATCCTCTTAATTTTAAAATTTTAGGATATTTCAATTAGATAATTAATAAAATTAATTTTTTCTTTTATTTTTAATTTATATTAGTAATAAAAATATGTAATAAATATATACTTAACCTATACACTAAGGGTACATATTTAAAAAACCGATATTAATATTAATCTTTATATTTTTTTAGATATAAATATATTATGTACTAATAAAATATATTTATTAAACCTTTAAATCCATGCATCGGGCAAACCCTTTTTGAAATAGTTAAATGTTCTTTGCTTCCTCCGCTCGTAAAAACCAAGAAAAAAAAACTAATTTTTTCTGCTTTTCTCTTCTAGTATATTTCGATTAAAGAGAATGAAGAAAAATGAACGAAGAAGAAAAATCTTTTTATTAACTAAATTATAATATTTAAAAAATATTATAATTTAATTAATTAAATTTTTTTTCCTTCCTCTCTTCTTCACTCCCCTGACCCCTCCTCCCTCCTCCCCTCAACCCCAAACATAGGCTTACATATCGACATAAAGGGAAAGGGGTTGCGTAGGTATTACTGTTACTTTTATTGATGAGTGTTTCTTTTGTTAAATATTCTTTGTTTAAGTCTTATAAAAAAAATATATATATATTCTTTGGTTAAGAGGATTCTTGTCAAGGTCCGTTAAGAAAAGGAGCAACGAGGAAATCAGCTACTTACCGTGTTGTGGAGTGTGAGCATTTTTTGTTGTACATGTCAGACATGAGATGTATTTAGTATTTGATTTAAAAATTTTAGATATAGTTTTAGATTTGATATTTACCTAAATTTTTAAGAATTTATGGTTGGTACTTAATCCAACAAGTATTAAAAAAATTTACGGGTATATACTTATTTATTAGTTGAATGATACTTTACTTTAAAACTTTTTTTCAAATTAAAATTTAACAAAATATTATTTATTTTTAATTTAAACTTAAATAAAACTAATAAAATTTCAATAAAATGTTGTTTATTACAATCTAAACTTAAATATAATCTAAAAAACAATAAATAACTAAAATTAGGTTTTATACCCATAACTTAAGTTTACGTACTATTAAAAAAACTAAACTCAATTAAATAATTAACAATAAAAAACAAAAAATATGTACCCAAAATATGAAGAATAAAATAAATTAAATAATAGAATAAAAATCTTTCAAAGAAGATGTACATGTTATTGTGCTCATAGTCCTCTTAATCCTATGCTTTGATTCATTAAAAAGCGTTAGTGACTGATGGTATTGTATTTATTTTAATATTATGATATTTATGCTTTTCACTTATGATTTTTATTATTTTAAATTTGAAGTTTGAAACTAAAAAATAATCTACATAATAAACAAATGCTCTGGATCAAAAATTACTAATAAAAAAAATAAAAATAAAACTAAAAAGAATCAAATTTTGAAGGTATAAGTACCCATCATTGCCTAAGAGTGCAAAAAACGAAAAAAATTGTTGGTTACGTGAGTGATATATATTTGGTTTAAACTTCGTTATTTATAGGCTGTGTGTGTAACTTTTTTTTTTTTTTTATATTTTATTAATTTTATTTTTAAAAATTATTCTTATTATAAAATATTAAGTATAATAAATATATATAAAATTTCAATTACACAAGTATAAATAACATATTAATTAAATAAAACAATTAAGTAAATCTTATTACTTGATACTTACAAATATACTATTTTTATACCTATTACTTATCCCGTTTTTTTACAATTCGGGTGATGTAAGTAATAAGTATGCCCGTACCAATGCTCACCCCTAGTGGATAACCAGCTCCCTAATTCCTTTTTCTCGGCAAACATAACGCCATCCCTGAGCCAGAATAAAAGCACCGCCTCTTTTCCTTAAAGTTCCACCAAGTCTGCTTTCACGCTCATTTGTGTTCTTTCACCCTTTTCATTTGTATGTATGAAAGCAAATCCTTTTTCTTTCAGCCTTCACTACTCCCAATCCAGCTTTCTCTTTGATTAATTTGCCATTTCATTCAATCTCTCTACCGACTGCAACACATGCCTTCAATTCATACTTTCATAATTTATCAGATCCGGTTTTCTGTTTGATTTGCCATTCTCTTCAATCTCCATGTTTACACTGCTGTGTTCCTTCATATATATTTACATAATCTCAAACTAATCTGCACTGCACTATCCATTGATTGTTTAGCTCTTGTTACTTGTCAGTCCGCTTGTATTCTCTATAGTTGTGTTTTATATATATTTCTCAGCAGCAGTCTTTGTTGCATTGCTGACAAAGTTTTTGCAACGGTGTTTGGTCCAATTGTTGATCAATATTTGGTCATAAATCTCACCATGTTTGTGCACAAGGACCAATACTATGTCATCAAGATGCTGAGGAAACAAATGGCTGAGTTGAAGGAAGAGAAAGAGAGTGTGAAGCGTTATACTGAAGATTCTTATGGTTCCAGAACTGGTGAATTAGAGCCGCTCGAGAAATGGTCGAAAAGCGCAACAACTCTGATTGAAATGGCAGACAAATTAGTAAATGAAGATAAGGAACATTGGAAGAACAAGCGTCCCATTGGGCTGTGTCTCAATCCCAAGTCTCCTTACCAACTTAGAAAGAAGGCGGAGCAGATATGCATGAAGATTGCTGCACATGTTCAAAATGCTCGTAGATTCGACGTCCCACTTCCCTATCGACAAGAGAGAGTGGTTGCTGATCATTTTGTGTACTTTAAATCGAGAAGCACTATTTTGGACGGTATCATGGGTGCACTACAGAGTCCTTGCATCAACAAGATTGGAGTGTACGGGGAGCCTGGTATAGGGAAGACGATGCTTGTCAGAGAAGTTAAACGAATAGTTGAGCAAGAAAGGTTGTTTAACGTAGTTGTTATGGCAACTGTGGGTAGGAATCCTTGACTTCCCAAGAATTCAAGATGAAATTGCACGTGGCTTGGGTCTGGATCCCGTTTCCAATGAACTCACATCTCTGGAAGCTTCCAATTCAAACCAGGCAAGGCTGATAGAAAAGCTCGTGATTTTGGAGGACGTATGGGAGTCAGGATTATCTTTGGAGTTGCTTGGAATAAAGGAAAAATACAACTTATCTTACAAAATTTTGCTGACCTCTCGAGATGAAAATGTTGTATCTCTACTATCTGAAGTACAATTTGAAATTGGAAAATTAGCTTTGGAAGAAGCATGGGATCTGTTTGAGAAGATAGCTGATGATCCATATAAAAGTCTTAGCTTGCCGTTTTATGCAATTGAGATTGCCAAGAAGTGTGAGCAATTGCCCATTGCTGTTGCAACAGTTGCAAATGCCTTGAGAAGGAATCTGATTGAGTGGAAGACAACTCTGGGAAAGCTACAAAGCCCGCCCTCTAATCTGGCAAATTCAAGTCAGATACTGACAAGGCTGCATTTGGTTATCGAGTTCCTTTACAATGGTTTGAAAAGCGACGACCTCCAACAAACATTTTTGCTTTGTAGTCTACTGGGTCAGAATGCAACCATTCAAAACTTGTTGAAATATGGTATAGGCTTGGGCTTATTCGCAGGAGTCAAGTCTATAGAGGAAGCACGAGCTCAAGTGCTAAGTTTGGTGACCAAACTCAGAGATTCTTCTTTGTTGCTGGATAGTGGAAGCAGTTCGTACTTTGATATGCACGATCTTGTTCAAGAATTTGCCATATCAACTGCTTCTAAGGAGCAAGGTGTGTTGGCTTTAGGAGAAGATGCGCCCATCGACTGGTCAAACACGCAGGCAATGGAAAGCATCAAATGGATTTATTTATCAAATGGGGATACCGGTCCGCTGCCAGATGAGGTGAAGTGTCCAAAACTCACTTTCTTTCATTTGTCTAAAAAGGAACCTTCTCTAGCAAGTCTACCAAACTGGTTTAGGGATAAGGAAAGACTCAGAGTCTTGAGTTTGTCAAAATTGAATTTTATGTCAATCCCTTCCCCAATTTCCCTTCCAAAAAGCCTTTGTACCTTTTGTCTGGATCAAGTTGAGTTAGGAAAGGCAAATATAGGCACAATGATGGCAGAGCTGGAGAATTTGCAAGTCCTGAGTCTTGCAGGATCGGATATCAAAGAGTTGCCAAAGCAAATGGGGCAGCTAGCCAAGTTAAAGTTGTTAGATTTGAGTGATTGTACCAAACTCAAAGTAATTCCACCAGGCATCCTGTCAAGTTTGTCAGAATTAGAAGAACTATATATGAGAAACAGCTTTGATCAATGGGCGGAGGGCATTGAGGAACATAAAATTCAAAATGCTAGCCTAGCAGAGTTGAAGCATTCAAAGTTGACTGCTATAGAGGTATGTATTATTTGCGATATCCAGAAGATTCCAGAAGGCTTGTTCTCTGAAAATTTGGCAAGATTCAAAGTTTTCTTAGGAGATAGGTGGAACTATTGGGATAGTTCTTGGGAAAGTTCAAAATTGTTGATACTAAAGCTAGATGCAAGAATTAGTTTTGAGTGCTCAGTTAGAAAGTTGCTAAAGAAGACAAATGAACTACATCTACAAGGAAGAATTGGAGCTGAAAATGTAGTCAGTAAATTAGATGAAGAAGGCTTTCAAGAACTGAAGTATCTCGTTGTCCAAGATGCTCTAGAGATTAAAAATATCTTCTGTAACTCGGTGTCATCCAAGCATGCATTCCCTGTGTTAGAGGTATTATTTCTTCGCAATCTGGAAAATATGGAGAAGATATGTCATGGCCTGCTTGGAGCAGCTTCTTTTAGAAAATTAAGGTTGATAACTATTGAATATTGTAACAAGATGAAGAATTTGTTCTCCTCCTCCATAGCCAAACAGCTTCAGCAACTCCAAGAAATTAGAGTGAAAGACTGCAGCGACATGGAAGAGATTGTTGATGACAAAGAGCAAGAGAGTGGAAATGATGCTGAAGAACATAAAGGACATAACTTTGTGGAATTAATTGCCCTCCGGTCCTTGAGGTTACAACATCTACCAAAGCTGATTGCCTTCAACAGTAGTTGCGGTACCACGAGACTTTTCAATGAAAAGGTATGTAATTAGTTTTTTTTTTTTTTTTTTTCCCATACGTAGAAGAGAATTATGATGAATTGGGGTTAAATAACAGACGAATAATATGTGGCTGAATTGTGTATTTTCCATTGAGTGAGTATTTATACAATAGCCTATCAGAAAATAGTAAAATAGTACTGTGACTTAAGTTGATGAAAGTGCAGGAAAATTAACAATTTATTAAATACATTTAATTAAAAGATTAGTGCTTATTAGTTCATATTTCTAAAAAAAAGGAAAAAAACACCTTAAAACTACATTATTTCAATAAAGTACCAAGAAAAAAGATAAAAAGTAGTCTAATTTATACTTTAAAAATAGACTATTTTAGTTCTTTTAATGACAATTTATTAAAAAGATATAGTTTTTAAATAATTTTCCTTCTAATTTTTTAGAGACTAAGATGCACTTTTTTCTTTTAATTAATTAAAAATAAAAACCAAGAAATGCATTTAATAAGTTGAATTTCAACATAGTTTCTTTGATAAAGAAGGTGATAAGTAAGACATGAAAATGATAAATTTATTATGTCATGTGTCACTCTAAACCTATAATTATAATGTGTTATTATATAATTAATTCTTTTTAATTATATCTCATCATTTGTATTGTATGCTTTTACTTGTTTAATAATACATTATAATTGTAAACTTATAATTTTACATATGTAACATTGTAACTATTTTATTATTTCATAAGATAATCCTTGTTCTTCTCTGTAGACAAAATGATAAGCTTTTACATCATAAAAGGAATTGTTTGTTGCACAATTGGTTGTGTTTTTAAACTTAGATTATAATTGTAAACTTATAATTTATATATGTAACATTGTAACTAATTTATTATTTCATAAGATAATCCTTGTTCTTATCTGTAGACAAAATGTAAGTTTTTACATCATAAAAAGAATTGTTTGTTGCGCAGGTTGTGTTGTTAAACTTAGAGGAGTTGAGATTGTCCTCGATCATGGTTGAGAATATCATATGGTACACTTCAATGATACCTAGGGTTGAGAAACTGACGAAGTTGATCATTCATGGTTGTGATAATTTGAAGTACCTTTTCTCCTTTTCTATAGCAATGCGTTTGTCAAAGCTTAGACACCTTCAAGTCAAGGAATGCAAAAGGATGGAAATGATTATTATCTTAGAGAATGAAAAAGAAAAAGAGAAATTGATTTTTTCTGAGTTGAACTTTCTGTTGATAGAAGGCCTTCAGAACCTTATTGGATTCTACTCAGGAAATTGTATTGTGGAATTTTTAGCCTTAAAACAACTGCAAGTATTAAATTGTGGAGAACTTGAGAAATTCATTGTTAAATCTTCTGCAAGCACAAATGTCGCAGATAACACACAATCGCTCTTCAATGAAAAGGTAAATATTTCCTCAATTCAACTACATGTTAACTTTAATTCCAAGAACTATAATTTCTCTAATCCTTTTAACTTCAACATCAGGACGTGTAGGCTGCTTTTCCCAACTTGACTAGTACCCACTTAAAAAAGTTAATGTTTGTTTAGTAAATGTGAGGTTATTTTTAGTTATTGTTTCCTTTTCTTTTAATTTTAGCAACTATTAGTAATAACTAAATTAGTGGCAATCTCCTCTTATCTTTTAACTCACTCCACCTGGATGCCTACAACTCAAAACCTAGGATCTCTTGCCCCACTTAAAGAAAGAAAGATTACCATTAGGCTGCTTAAAATGTTGGCTTTGACTTCTTTTTTTCTTTTTCATCAAATTATAACCATATAGTAGGTAATAGCTCTCCCTTCCCAAAGCCCTCCAATCTAAGACCTCCAATATAATGGCTCAACCTCTTAATTATCACTGAAAATCCCCTAGGGGACACATTATAACTTTTTTGGTAAAAAAGCCCTAGATGAACCTGATAATCCTTTTTCTTATTCATAGACAAAATCATAAGCTTTTGTAATTAATAGAATTGTATGATGTGCAGGTTGTTTTAAAATCAAATCTAGAGGAATTGCATTTGTCCTCGATTAGAGGTAATAATACCATATGGTACACTTCAATGACATCTTTTGTTGAGAACCTAACAAAGTTGATCATTCATGGCTGTGATAATTTGGAATACCTAGTCTCATCTTCTATGGCAAGAAGTTTATTGAAACTTAGACAGCTTCAAGTAAAGGAATGCAAGAAGATGAGAATGATTATTATCACAAATAATGAAGAAGAAAAAGAGAATTTGATTTTTTCTCAGTTGAATTTCTTATTAATGGAAGGCCTTCAGAATCTTGTTGGATTCTATTCAGGAAATTGTATTGTGGAATTCTCATCTTTGAAACAATTGCAAGTATTAAATTGCATACAGCTTGATGGATTTGTCGTTAAGTCTTCTACAAACACAAATGTCATAGAGGACACACGACCACTCTTCAATGAAAAGGTAAATGTTTCCTCAATTCAGTTTCATTTTAGCTTTAATTTTAGGAACTATAATTGTTGTAATCCTTTTACTCTCAATGTCATGATGTGTAAGTTGCTTTTTCAAACTTGATTTGCACCACTTAAAAAACTTAGAGACTATTTAGTAAATGTAAGGTTGTTGTTTTTAGTTTGGTTAAATGCCAATTTTAGTCTTTAAACTTCTAATTTTGAATATTTTTAGTTTTTAAACTATTTTTTTGCACTTTCTTTGTCCTTGAATTATAAAAAATGCATTTTTTGTTCTTCTGTCAGGTAATCCATTAAGTCTATCCATATATGCATTCTAAGACCTCTAATATGATGACTTAGGTTGTGTTTGAGATTGTTATAAAGTGTTACGGCTATGGCTTTTTCAATATTCTACTGTGAGAAAAATTATATTATTGTTTAATAGTTGCTTTGAAAAGAATCTTACATATTAATATAATAACTAAATTATACAAATGACAATGATTGGTAAACTCTTTGGTTCAATACACTCACAACATATTCATTAAGAAATTATTATTTTAAATTTTAAATTTAAGGCAAGAAAATTTTCACTTGCAAAATTTAATAGCTAAACTAGTGGGTATTGACATATGTATTGAACAAAAGGGTGTACTAATCATTATCCTTACACAAAATATCAGTTAAAATAAATTTAATCATAATAAATTAATACTTTTATAAGGTGCTATATGAAAAAGGTTTGTAGGAAATCAATCCCAAACGCAACCTTACTATCTTAATTATCGCTAAAAGTCCTCTAGGGACACATTTTAACTTCTTCGGTAAAGAAGCCCTAGATGAACCTGATAATCCTTTTTCTTATTTATAGACAAAATCATAAGCTTTTGTAAATAATAGAATTGTATGATGTGCAGGTTGTGTTTTCATCAAATCTAGAGGAATTGCATTTGTCCTCGATTAGGGGTAATAATACCATATGGTACACTTCAATGACATCTTTTGTTGAGAACCTAACAAAGTTGATCATTCATGGCTGTGATAATTTGGAATACCTAGTCTCATCTTCTATGGCAAGAAGTTTATTGAAACTTAGACAGCTTCAAGTAAAGGAATGCAAGAAGATGAGAATGATTATTATCACAAATAATAATGAAGAAGAAAAAGAGAATTTGATTTTTTCTCAGTTGAATTTCTTATTAATGGAAGGCCTTCAGAATCTTGTTGGATTCTATTCAGGAAATTGTATCATGGAATTCTCATCTTTGAAACAACTGCTAGTATTAAATTGCCTGAAGCTTGAGGGATTCATTGTTCAATCTTCTACAGGCACAAATATCACAAATGACACACAATTGCTCTTCAGTGAAAAGGTAAATATTTCTTTAATTCAATTGCATTTTAGCTTTAACTTTCTGAACTATACTTGACTAGCACCCCACTTACAAAACTTGGAGCCTGATTAGTAAATGTGACATTGTTTTTAGTTTTTATTTTCATTTCTTTTAATTTTAGCAAACTACTAGAGCTCAAGTCGCGTTCTATGCGGTTCCTCTTTTTATTTTTAGATTTTCAATAATTATAAATTTTTATAATGATAATTAATGATAAATATATTTTAGAGTATTTATTAATAATTAGTCATTTAAAATATATTAATTCATAAAAAAGCTCAAATGGTAGGTACAAAAGAAGATTTAAGCGTAAAAATTTAATCAATTTAATTTTTAAAAATAAAGACAACTTTTTAATAATTTGTTACTATATTAATAAATTACGAAAATTTATCAATCATCTCTATCTATTCTTTGTCTCTACATTAATCAATTGTTTGATTTTTTTTTCCCCTCCGTTATCATCTAGTCCTTAATTAGCTCATAGCTATTCACATACTAAACTATTCTCAGTTTCTTACGTTATGATCGTATCTATTCCCATATCTTTCTATGAAGCACTTTCAGTTCTTTGGTTTCTTTCATCATCATATACTTATGTTATTACTATACATTTTAATTGAGACTTAATACTTTTATCTCTTCTCATTTTGCTTTCTTAAAGTTACATTTTTCACATTATTTTACACTTTCATTAATTTTTTACATCTGTTCTACCTTTACTCTCTCATATTATCTTTTTATGTTTGTTTGTGTGTATGTGTGTATATGCATGTTTGTAAATCCCTCTCTATATTAGTAATTTTTATATTATTTTTTCACATTATTTTACACTTTCATTACTTTTTTACATCTACTCTACCTTTACTCTCTCATATTATCTTTCTATGTTTGTGTGTGCATATATACATCTTTGTAAATCCCTCTCTATATTAGTAATTTTTTACATTATTTTTTATTCCTCATCCTCTCCTCTTTATTGTTCTTTCTTAATTTGTTGCATGTGTATCTTTCTATCTTTATGTATCTCTTTTTAACCCATTTGTCTTCCCTTCTCTCCCTTAATATATATCAGAAATGTTTTCAAGTTAAAACATAAAAGGCATAACTTATTAACATTATTTGCTTGATACTCAACTTGTCATTTGTTTTTAGTAGGGCTTTCATTAATTTTTATTGAGACTCCATCTCTTATCTTCTCCTCTTACATTTTAGGTTGAACCTGTTATTTGCACCCTACACATTTTTCTTTTTGTGGTCAATAGTTTAAATTAATCTTTGTCTTAGTCAACATCTTCTATAATTTAAAACCGTGAAAAACCTCAAATTACCAACACAATCATGGTGCAAATAAGGGGTTGACCACAAAATCAAGGTGCAAATAGAGGGTTTGATCATAAATTTTTAGGTTTTTCATGGGTTTTAAATAGTGGAGAGTATTGATTGGGATGAAAATTAGTTTAAGGCATTGATCGCAAAAAGAAAAAATGTATAAAGTGCAAAGAGGGGTTTTGGCCTTACATTTTATCTCGTTATCTTTAATTCTCTATCTTACATATTATCCTCTTTTTTTTCACTCTCATCTCTTTCATTCTTTCTTAGACAAACCATGTATCTTAATCTATCATTGTATATCTTATTTTTGACCTTTTTTTTTTTTTTCTCTATTTCAACATGTCTATACTAGAAAGTTTTATGTCAAAATATAAAAGACACAATTTCTTAGTATTATTCTCTTAGTACTTTTTCATTTGCTTTTACTTCATTTATTAAAATATAAAGTTGTGTAAGATTTATCATATTTTTTAAGTGAAAAAGACAATAATTTTTAAAAATATAATAAAAATTAGGTAATTTCCAATAATTCACAAACGAGAGATGAATAGTTAAAATTTTGTATAAGTTATATTTGTAAGAGTTGTATGCAAATGCATTCTAACTCTTCTTTCCTTTCTTTTGTCTTTCCTTCTATACTATTCTTTCTTAGTCACTCCTTGCATCTCTATCTCTCATTATATATCTCTGTTTTACCCTAATTTTCCTCTCTCTTTTATTGTCTATATTAAAAATGTTTTTGGCCAAAACGTAAATTCTTGGAAAATGATTAGCATACACTTGATTCAACACACTTTTTGACACTTATCCTAGTTCAGCTATTAAAATATAATATGAGAATAGTTGATTTAGTTGGTTTCTGCATCTTGTATTTATGGCTTTATTTTTAAGTTTATCTGCCTATCATTTTAGACTAGAAAAAAATGTTTTTTTTAATGAGTATGTTGTACAATATATTGAACTAGAATGTATATCAATTATTGTCCTAAAAATTAGATAATTCCCAATAATTCATAGTGGAGAGATGAACAGTTAAAATTTTGTATAAGTTATATTTGTAAGAGTTGTATGTAAATGCATTCTAACTCTTCTTTCATTTCCCTTGTCTTTCCTTCTATACTATCCTTTCTTAGTCACTTCTTGCATCTCTATCTCTCATTATATATCTCTATTTTACCCTAATTTTCCTCTTTCTTCCATTGTCTATATTAGAAATCTTTTTGGCCAAAACATAAATTTTTGGAAAGTGATTAGTACACACTTGGTTTAACACGCTTTTTGACACTCATCTCAGTTTAGCTATTAAAATATAATGTATGAACATTCGATTTAGTCAATTCCTGCATCTTGTATGCATGGCTGCATTTTAAAGTTTATTTGCCTATAATTTCAAATTAAAAAAAAAAAAGATTTTTAATGGGTATATTATGCAATGTGTTGAACTAAAGTGTGTATATCAATCATTGTCCTAAATTATTAATAGTATTTTCTAGTTCTTTTTCACTTGCCTTTACTCCTCTTATTATTATTTTTTCTAGCAAGTCAATCTCTCGGCTTGTCACTCAAAGTTTTATCTTTATATTTATCTTGTTACCCTAAGTTTGCCCTCGCTTGACCTTTATAAATTAGTGATTTATTTTTTTTATTATTCTTTCCTCCCTTATGATCCCCTATCTATTGTTCTTTCTTAATCATTATTGGTATCATTATCTATCATTATATGTCTTTTTTGTTTCTACCCCAATTTTTCTCTCTTTCTCACTATTTGTATTTGAAATTTTAAAGTCAATTCATAAAATGTGCAACGTATGACTACTATTATTTGGTACCTTTTCACTTACCTTTACTCCACCTCTCATTAGTTTTCCTTGTAACTCCATTTCTTAATTCCCACATCACAATTTATCATTATATTTATCTCTATGTCATATGTTTGTCATTATTTTCCCTCTCTATATTAGTAATTTCCACTTGTTATTAGTATTTTATTTATTTTTATTTTTTTTCTCCCATTATCATTCCATTCCTATTATTATTTCTTAGTCATTCATTGCATCTCAATAGATCATTATTTATATCTTCTTTTAATCCCAATTTTTTTCCCCTTCTTCCTCCTCTATATTAAAAATGTTTTATGTCAAAAAAGCATAGTTTCTTATCATTATTATCTTGATAAAATTTCACTTGCTTATTCCACCTTTCATTTCTTTTCTTGAATTTCATCACTTAGCTTACTCTTCATATTTTATAATTATATATATATATTTACCTTGCACTTGCATTCACTTTTTCTCTTCATATTAATCATTAACAGATTATTATTCTTTTATCTCCGATATCTATCCTTCGATGTTATTCATTGTTAGTCACTCTCTTTGTATCTCCATTATCATTTTTTTTTTATGTGAGTATCTCTATTATCATTATATATCTTCTATCTTCCATTGTTTATATCAAAAAAGTTTTAAGTCAAAACATAAGTAGCATAACTTTTGAACATTATTTTCATTTTTTTTTTTCACTTACCACTACGCCTCGAGGATTATAGTACCCCTTGTACTCATTTAAAAATTGTCTTTAACTATTGTCATCATAATCCTCCTTTTAATTCCTTTTTTGTTTCCTTTTGATAGGAGATATCCACTAATCATCATCATCATCATCATCATCATTATTATTATTTTGTAACTCCATCTCTCAATTCCCTTATCACAATTTATCATTATATTTATCAAGGATAGATCTACTTATACATAAATCTTATACATCATAGTTATACAAAATCTCAATTATTCATTTATCCACTTTTAATGGTTGAGATTTATCACTTTTTTTAGATGAAAAAATAATTATTTTTAATAAATATGAATAAATTTTAACTATTGAAAGTGGATAGATAAATAGTTGAGATTTTATATGTGTGGTGTGTGAGATTCCTACTCTTATTTGTCTCTATGTCATCATAGGTTTATCATTTACTTTTTCCTGTCTATATTAGTAATTCTCACTCTTCATTAGTATTTTATTTGGTTTTATTCTTTCTCCCATTTTCTTTCCATTTCTATTATTATTTTTTAGTCATTTTTTGTATCTCAATATATCGTTATTTATACCTTTTTACTCAATTTTTTTTTTCTCTTCCTCCTTTTCTCTATATTAGAAATTTTTTTTATGTTGAAACATAAAAGGCATAACTTCTTAGCATGATTATTTCAATACATCTATTTCATCTTTATATATATATATATATTTACCTTATACTCACATTCACTTTCTCTCTCTATATTAATAATTTATATATTATTATTCTTTTATTTCCTTTATCTTTCCTTTTATATTATTCCTTTTTAGTCACTTTTTGTATATCATTTAACTTTATATATCACTTTTTACCTTGATTTCATTTTATCTTCCATGGTCTATATTAGAAATGTTTTAGGCCAAAACTTAAGTGGCACAATTTCTTAACATTATTTTCTAATTCCTTTTCACTTGCCTTTGGGCCCCAAGGATTGTAGCATCCCTTGTACCCTTTCGAAAGTTGTTTTAGCTATTACCATGATAATCTTCATTTTAGTTTCTTTTTTCTATTTTTTTTTCTCTTTTTGATGGTGGATATCCACCAATAATTATTTTTTGTTGTAACTTCTTCTTTTAATTCCCCATCACAATTTATCATTATATTTATCTGTATGTCATGTGTTTGTTATCTTTTTCCTTTTCTATATTAGTAATTCTCACTCTATATTATTATTTTACTTATTTTTATTCTTTTTCTCATTATCATTTCATTTCTATTATTATTTCTTAGTCATTTTTTACATCTCAATATATCATTATTTATATTTTTTACCCCAATTTTTTTCTCTTCCTTTGTTCTCTATATTAGAAAATTATAGATCAAAACATAAAAGGCATAGCTTCTTAGCATTACTATCTAGGTACATTATTTTATACTTGCATTTGCGTTCTCTCTCCATATTAATAATTTATACACTATTATTCTTTTATCTCTCTTATCTTTCCTTCTATATATTTTTTCTTCTATTATTCTTTTCTTTCATATTATTCTTTTTTAGTCACTGTTTGTATTTCTATTTATCATTATATATCTCTTTTTACCCTAATTTCCTCCTATCTCCCATTGTCTATATTAGAAACATTTAGACCAAAACATAATTGGTACAATCTCTTAAAATTATTTTCTAATTCTTTTTCACTTACCTATACACACCTCAAGGATTGTAGTGGCCCTTGTACTCCTTCAAAAGTTGTCTTCAATTATTATCATTCATAATCCTCCTTTTAGTTTTCTTTTTCTTTTTCTTTTTCTTTTTCTTTTTTTTTTTTTTTTGATATGGGAAATCAAGTATTAATAGTTTAACCAAAATCTTAACAAAACTTCAATAAAAATTTACTAATTTTCCTAATAGTATTTGATAGGTTGAATTCTAGTACATAATATAATGCTAACTTATCCTTGATTTTATTAATATTTGAAAGATTTTAATCTTATTTTACTTATTTTACTTTATTTCCATTATTTTTGTAGAATAGGATTTAAGTTTTAAAAATCATAAACTTGGAAATAAATTACAATGTTTTACACAATCAAAGGATGAATAAAATGGTGAGATTGAGGAACAAATTGTAGAATTATGAATCTAAGAACTAAATTGTAGAAAATTTTGAAAGTTAAGGACCAACACTATACTTTTACCCTTAAGAAAATAAAATAAAGTCCACAAAAAAAATAAATTGAGGGTCAATATCTCTTCTGCTTCTTCTTAATAAAAAATTAGATGTTATTAAAATTGGATTTCATCATCATCATCTTCTTCTTAATAAAAAAATTAAATCTTATTAAATTTGTATTCAATATTATATACGTTAGGTTTGAGTTACTCTTTAATGGCTATTTCTTCTTTTTCTCCTCCTCCTTCTTCTTCTTATTAATACAAAATTAAATCTTATTAAAATTGGATTTCAATATTATGTATGTTAGATTTGAACTACTCTTTAATAGTTATTTTTTTTTAAAGTCCAGTGGATATTTATTGAAAGTTTTTTAAGCCTATTGAGTATTTATTGAGGATTTTAAAAAAAAATTCAATAGGCATTTATTTAAAAGTTTTAGAGAAAATTTTGTTATTATAATAATTTTATATATAAAAAGACTCCCTTAATTTATTTCTTACATTAATGATAGACTATATAACAAGGATAGCCTTCCCTTCCCAACCCCCTCCTCGCATCTAAGGATTCAAATATAAAACTTCTAATAGGATGGCTCAACCTCTTAATTAATAATAAAAGTCCCCTAGGGAACACATTTTAACTTCTTTGGCAAAGAAACCCAACACGAACCTAATAATCCATTTTCTTATTTATAGGCAAAATGATAAACTTTTGTAATAAAAAGAATTGTATGTTGTGCAGGTTATGTTTTCATCAAACCTAGAGGAGTTGCAATTGTGCTCGATTATGGTTAAGAACTCCATATGTCACACTTCAATGATATCTTGTGCTGAGAAACTCAAGAAATTAATTATTCAAGGTTGTAATAATTTGGAATACCTATTCTCATCTTCTGTAGCATGTGATTTAGAAGGGGTCATCCAACTCTTTCTTCCAAAATTAAAGAGGTTGGAATTGAGAGACTTGCCCACATTGAAGAGCATTTGTAGCAGGAGGGCAATAATGGTATGTGATGTGATTAATGTGATTGCAATCGAGAATTGCAAGTGCCTTAGGAGGATCCCTCTTTATCTTCCCTTGCTTGATAATAATCAACCATCTCTTCCTCGTTCCCTCAAACAAATCATTGTATGGCCACAAGAATGGTGGGAATCATTGGAGTGGGACCATCCCAATGCAAAAGAAGCCTTTGTACCCTTGCTTACATTCTATGGAAGTAAAAAGGTGCAATTCACCAACATTGATATTGATGAAGAAAATACTTTGCTGATGCCTTCTGTACAAGAATTAATTATTGAACGATGTAACAATTTAAGGAGCTTAAATGATATCTCTACCATTAAAGATGCAACAGAATTGAAGCACTGCCGGATTAGGAGTTGTCAAGGTGTGCAGTGTGTTCTTTCCTCGTTCATAAATCCACTTGTCCAAAAGCTTGAGGTTGTGTGTCTTGAAGATTTGGAAAACTTGGAAGCCTTGTTTGGAGCAGAAGCGATTACCAAGTCACCACAGCCACCAGACACTTTTTCTTCTCTTATAACAATAAAGGTTTGGTACTGTCATAAATTAAAGAAGTTGTTCCCCTTTCAGATATATCTTCAAAGTCTAGAAGAAATTGACATTGGTTTTTGCCTACGGATGGAAGAAATAATAGCATGGGATGTCATCCAACTCATTCTTCCAAAATTAAAAAGTTTGAAATTGATGTACTTGCCCACATTGAAGAGCATATGTGGGAAGACGTCAGTAATGGTATGTGACTCTCTTGAAGTGATTTGGATACTCAACTGCAAGAGTTTGAGGAGGTCCCCTCTTTATCTTCCCCTACTTGATAACGGACAACCATCTCCTCCTCGTTTCCTCACACAAATCAAAGTATGGCCACAAAAATGGTGGGAATCATTGGAGTGGGACCATCCCAATGCAAAGGATGTCCTTCTACCCTTCTGTATATTTTGGCCGTGGTAACAAGAAGATAAAATTAGGAAATCCCACAAGAATGGTGGGAATCATATGGAGGGAGCACCTATTGTTACCCTGCAACGTTTCATTTTCACCATGGCTTCTCCAATCGATGTGGAAAAAGGTTCATCTTCGCTATGGTGTATTTTTATTTCTAGAAACTGCTAATTCAAGTCATGAACTGCAAAATGAGATAGAAAGGGACATAGAGGTAATATGGATTAATTAACTGATTTCTTTTTGTTGTTTCAGGAACCTGAGATAATCGCATTTATCTCTTCGTGAGCATCAAGGAATTTGATAGTTGTCAGAGGAGGTGCTCCCCAATTCTCAATTTGTAGTGTGTTGTTTTGTATCATTTTCTATAACTGGTAAGAGTGCTCGATGCCAACCTTTTGTTTTGGGTTTTCAATCATTAATGTTTTGAATCAGTGGAATTGATAATTGCACCACTTCCTTTAGGTTTTGCTATTAATGCCATGGATCTGAATTGCCAAAATATCAACATGATTTATCTTTTAGCTCAATCTTGGAGTCCCAGTTACATGTTACAAACTACAATGGTCTATTTAATTAGGTCTTTTGGGTCTTGGGATTTTTGTCAACTCAATTGTGTTGACATTATGTGTGTTGGATTGGGTACTAGGACCTAATTCTAATGGAAGTTTGGGTATCTTGTAAATATCAGATTAGTCATTCTATGTATAGGAATTTTTGGTTGAAATGCAGTTGCTTAATCAAATATCTTGAATCATTGTTAGTGAAAATAAAAGAAATCTCATGATGCTAGACACACAAGCTTTTTTGCTTTGCCTATTTGCTTTAATTGTTATACACACATCTTCACAAGCCTAAATGTAATGGAACTAGTATAGAATTCTCAGTACCACGCTTCCTTCCCTAAGATTGATTCTGCAATTTATTACTATGTTTTACTGATTTAAGCTTAGAAGAAAAAAAAATTCAAATTAATTTGTTGATGCAGGTAACATATCACAGGATGAAGGATGCCTTGATACAATTGATCAAAGGTGTGCTAAAGGGACCTGTTGCCAATATGGTTCCTATCTTGTTTGGAGAGAGACTGCCAAATATTGTCGAAGATGTAATGTTCTCCCCTTTTAACTCCCACCTTGATCACTCTCAAGTGTGAATTACTTTCTAAGTTTTTTTTTCTTTTCAGATGATAAATGGTTTACCTTTCTCTTTCCCTTTTTCTTTTTGTTAGGGGTAAGGGGTAAGGGGTTGAATGTGTTCGTGTTAAGTTTCAATTCATAAGAATAGAATGTGTTGGTTGCTAATATCTTTCTCTTACATGAATTGCATTCTTAATTCAGTTTTGAGTTGAGAACAGAAAATTGAAACAAATTGAACCATAATAGAAAAGGATTGACTGTAATGCAATGCAATTCAACCTATAACTTACAAAATTTGCCTTTACAAAAAAAAAAAAAAAAAAGCTTATATAGTCATATTAATTGCACGAGCCTCACTTGTAGTCATTATTTTTGTTCTAGGTTTCAAGATGTATATCATTTGGAGGCTAGTTCCTATACAAGAGAGTGAACTGTGTAGACAATTTTGTTTTACAAAACCAAAGGGTACTGCTTAATTTTTAAAATAGGTAAGAATTTTTTGTGTAAATCTAAGGTTCAATTGGCATTCTACTTCACAAGAAACGTCTCAAATTTCAAAATGGTGAATATTAAGTTTAATGATTTATTTAAGGTTTAGAGAGGCCCTTAAGTTCTAGGAAATTTGGCTTTATACAATCATTGTAAATTTGTAAAAGGTTCATGTTTCATTTGCTTTAGTGGAATATGAAAGAAAAGAAAGGTGAAGAAGATAGCACACTGAATGAAGGTGAAGTTAACATTGCTATTTCAGATACAAACTAGCAAAGAGATTTGCTTAGAGTGGAGTCTAAGGTTCAAATATTACTTTTGTTGGAGCAGTGGCATCAAAGCTGTGATGTTGCTACCACAAAACAGCAAAATGGTGCAGCAAGAAGCTACATTTAGGGGACAAAATGTGCAACAACAAAGCTACTTTAATGGAGGAAAGAAAAGTGCAGAAAATTGCTGCATTATGGAAGAAAATGAAATGAAATGCAAATGCAAATATGAGATGCAAATGAAATGCAAATGGAGGTTCCATATTAGTCAATAAAAGTGCAGCAATGTTATAATGTTTTAATGTACTTTTTGTGCTTGTTTATGTATAACAATCTTTGATTTAAATGTTAGACTAGATTTTTCAGGAAACATGTTCCACAAATCATGGAAAGTAGGTCAACAACACCGTTTTTTTGTTGAATATTTCTACTATAAATGAACAGATATGTTAATGAAAATGTGAGAGAGTTGGGGAGACCAATTGCTCCTCTCCTCCTAGGTTGGGTGAATGTTTGCACCTTGTTAAAATTAGTAAAGTAATTTTCTAGAAGGGTCATTGTTCATGAATGACTCTTTATATTTGAAGAAGCATATCTACACATTTTTAGTATGCATGTACCTAACGTCTCTAGTTCATGTTTTGTCATTTTGTTATGTACCTAGTTTAGTGTGATTCATGTATTAAGGGGGATGAATCTTTTTCATTTCAAGTCCTATATATACCTATGTACACTTTCATTTGCAAGTATCCAAGTAATAGAAGAAATTCAATCATACAAGTCTTACTCATTATATACATCTTGGAGTTTTATTCTTTTCCTTGGTTTGCTTTTCTTCACCTAGGTTGCTAGTCTTGGGCTAATGTGACTTTGGTTGCACTAAAAGTTATTTACAAGGTATTAGAGCTGATGGTTCAATCCCGGTGTGATCAAATACTCAAGGATGGGTTTAGTAGAATTGTGAGTGTGGAAAAGTCCATGGCATGGTAAAGACTTTGCAATTGTGATCCCATGGCAGAAATTGAACCCATGGCAGAAATTGAAAATGTGATATCTTCAATGGTAGAAGATGAGTGAAGTCTTCAAGTAGATAGGTAAGAACCGATGAGATGGACGAGGTCTGAAGTTATTTGGCAGATAGGCAAGGTGTGAAGTCCAAAGTAGTTACACTCATGGGAGAAAGACTTATATGTTCACAAGAAAGAACGTTGGAGTATATGAACATGTGAGTTGAGTTAAGTGATGTACAAAGACTCCACATTGATGAGAAACAAAGTGTTAGAATATTATATATATATATATGAGGTCTATGAACTGATGGGCATGTCTTTTGGGTTCAATACGACATCTCCTTATATCTCTTTGTGCTCTCACACGTGCGCTCCCTAGCTAGCCTATTAAACTTTCCCAATAAATGGTATCAGTGTTAGTTTTTTGAACAAAGAGATGAAGATGTGATAAGTGTAGAACTGAAATTTTCCATTGAACAAATTTGCCTTTTACAAGGAAATAAAAGAAACTAATAAAAAACTGATAAAAACTAAAATTTAATTGCACTACTTCAAAGAAACAAACTGATCATAAAACAAAAAAATAACTGCTAAAAAAAACTGTAAAATAATGTGATAGCATTTATGTCACTGTTAGCATCCATTCCTTGCATGGTTGTTTTCACTCGTCCTTGACACTAACGCTGCTCATCTTGAGCTTGTCTCTTAGTGTCTCAAATCTGAATTTGTGCAATCCTTTAGTGACTATATCAGCAATCTAGTCATCTAAATCACAATGTAAAACCTGAACTTCACCTTCACTAACCACCTTCCTGATAGAATGAAATTTGATCTTGATATGCTTGGTGCTACCATGAAGAACAAGATCCTTAACAATTGCAACAGTAGATAAATTATTACAAAACAACTCAGTAGGATGCATCTGAGGTTGTTTTAAATCATTCATTGGTTTCCTAAACCAGACAACTTGATCTGTAGCAAGAGAAGTAGCAATGTACTCAGCTTCTACTGTTGACTTGGCAACTGAGTCTTGCTTTTTAGAACTCCAACTAATCACCCCTGAACCAATAGAAAAACACCGTTCTGAGGTGTTCTTCATGTCTTCCTCTAAACCAGCCCAATCATTATCTATGAATCCAATTAGTTTCACATTTGTTGAACTTATATAAAGAACACGAAAATCAGTCATTCCCTTCACATACCTCAAGATCCTCTTGGCTACCTTGAAGTGTATTTCACTGGGAGAATGCATAAACCTAGACATAAAGCTCACTGAATGCATTATATCAGGTCTAGTTGCTGATAAATATAACAATCTCCCAATTAAACTCTGGTATATTCCTACATCAATTTTAGCTATACCATCATCACTTTTTAGCTTCTTACAAGGAACCATAGGTGTGCTGACTATTTTGCAATTAGCCATTGCAAACTGATTCAGAATCTCATTAGCATATTTCTTTTGACATATGAAAATACCTTGACTGGTCTGACTAATTTCCATTCCAAGAAAATAGGACATTTTCCCTAAGTCATTCATTTCAAATTCCTTCCTCATTTCAACTTTGAACTACTAGATCAACTTCTCATTGCTGCCAGTGATGAGAAAATCATCCACATAAATTGTAACAATCAATAAATCAGTTCCCTCTTCTTTAACATAAAGAGTGACTTCAGTGAGACTCTTTACAAAACCCAATTTTAGTAAATATTCATCTATTCTACTATACCAAGCTCTAGGAGCCTACTTAAGTCCATACAAAGCCTTTTTAAGCAAATAGACTGTCTTTAATACCAGTTTTAACAAATCCATGAGGTTGCTCCACATGTATTTCTTCTTTCAAATAACCATTTAAGAAAGTGGATATAACATCAAGTTGGTATACAAACCAGCATTTTTGAGCTGCTAATGCCAAAAGCAATCTAATTGTCACGCCCCAGAACCCAAATCCGGGGTAGTGGCAGACGCCGTGCACTCGTGAGCGGGGCCCACAAATGCACAAGGCTCGAGACCTACTGAGTTCTTAGCAATTCAGATTTAAGCCTTTTAATTTACCAAATAGTTACCAGTCGAACGTACAAAATTTATCACTTCATATATACAATCAGGACTAACATTAAATTCTGTACACAAAACTTTCTATGTCAAGCATGGGTGACTAACGGCTTAGCTACAAAACCTAAGTCCAAAAGTGCCTAGCCGTCTAGCTCGTCACTCCCCGGGGCTTCCCACGCGTCGGGTCTCACTACCTGAAATGGTGGACAAGGAAACCATGAGATAAAATACCTCGATAAGTAAATATGGGTACCCGAATCAGGATTTAAAGCATGCCAAATAATCGGTTAAAACATGAACAGAGCGTTTCAAGAACAGAGCGTGTCAAGAACAGAGCATTTCAAGAACAAATCATTAATGCAAAATAAAATCACATAGTGGTCTCCTCTATTAGTCATGGCCAGTTCCCACTGGCAGGCACACGAGTACTAGTGTATAATCCCCACTAGTAGGGCCACGAGCGAACCGGTCCTATCACGAACATGTCGACATGTGCTAGCGTTTGTAACCTCCCCCACTAGCAGGGTCACGATTACACGACCATATCGGAGACAAAACCAAGCAAGATTTACAGAAATCACGATTCACGATCGTTCTCACTTTCAAAAAAATAAACCGAAGAATTTCATGTGGGCATGCTCAATTCTAGAAAATAAGGAAAATAATGAAAGTTCAAATTCCCTTTTTAATCATGCTCAAATGCAATTAAAATCCATTTAAGCCTCGCCACCATCTTAGAAAACAATTAAAATATGATTCAAAATTTAAGGGCATTACCATAATTTACTTACCTTAATTACACAGGACAGAAGGCCTAATCCAAGCACTAGGATCACAAGGCAATCAAGGACCTATTCACAATATTCTCGAGTTAATATCTATAAGGAAATTTCATTCCTTTATTTATTTTCATTTCTGCTTTTCTATGCGAAAATCAAGCATTAACCGGGATTGGGTATTTATCTATATATCTACAATTATATAATTACCCATATACAATTTTCCTCAATTTCATGGACAAGCAATGGGAGAACCGGCCTTGACAAAAAAAGGCCAATTCACAGAATTCTCCCCTTTTCTCTCGGACACACACACAACAGCCAAACCCCCTAATTTCCTACACAAATCATCAACCAAAACCCATTTTCAGATTGTCAAAACTCATCCCTATTTCAACAAAATTTTCGGACAACCAAGCTCATTTCATACAACCACTTAAACTCACAAATCAGCACTTAAACAACCAATATCAGGAGATTAAGGAAGCCAACTTACCAGAAATGCTCAACAAGCAAAACTGGAGCTGGCGGTAAAGGGAAGAGCCGGCGGGAAAATTGCAAGGGGGCTTCACGCAGACTTCTAGCAATTGAAAGAAAGGAGAATTAGAGTAACTCACACAAACTAAAGCTGAAAAGAGGAATTTGTGGGCTGGTTTTACCAGGAAAAACCAGCAGCAGCCGGCGGCAGAGGGGGAGGAAACAGAGCAGATCCGGCGGCTTTTCTGCAAAAGAGAGAGGTTCTAAATCCTAGACTTGTTCTTGGGCAAGAGGAGAACAAGAATCATCAAGTTCTCTTACCAATTTTTGCAGATGGGGACGCTGGAAATGGCTGGTGATGTTCGGTAGCAGCAGGGAGAAGAAAACAGAGCAGACGCGAAAAATGGCTGGAAGAAAGAAAGAAGGAAGAAGAAAAAGATAAAAGGGATGAGTCAGCCGGCCTTATCCAATAAGAGTTTTAACCCCTTTGGAGTTTGAAATATTGACGGTTAGGTCCCTTAATAATGTTTCCTCACCATTAAGTCCCTAACTCCACTTATATGCTTTAGGAAATTTTGGGGTATTACACTAATGGTATCAAACCTGGCCACTGGTGCAAATGTCTCACAAAAATCAATTCTTGGGAGTTGTGAGAATCCCTCTACTACAAGCCTTGCTTTGTGCTTGTTTATAGAACCATCAGGATTAAGTTTCACCTTATAAACCCACTTAACACCAATGACTTTCTTGTTATCTAGTCAATCCACAAGCTGCCATTTATCATTTTTTTGAATCATATTGAACCCTTCTTACATTGTAGCTCTCCAAACCTTTGACTTCACAGCTTCATAAAAATTTGGAGGTTCAACAACACTAACATTGCACCTTTCATAGATATTAGCCAGTGATTTGGTACCTCTAATTGCATTCCTCATCAGTTTGATCTTCAAAAATAGTCTTAGAAGATATAACATCTGAATTCTCCCAATTCCAAGTTGTAACTTCGTTAAACTTCACATCTCTATTGACTTCAATCTTTCCAGTTCTCACATTAAACACCATGTAGCCTTTTGATTGACTATTGTAACCTATAAAAATTCCAACTTTAGCTCTATGATCAAGTTTATCCCTTTTTGCCTCTAGAATATGCATGTAACAAATGCAACCAAAAACCTTGAGATGATAGATGGTTGGTTTAATTCTAAACCAGACTTCATATGGTGTTTTCCTATCAAGTGCCTTTGTTTGAACTCTACTGAGTAGATATACAGAACTATTTATAGTCTTAACCCAAAATTTTCTTAGCAAGTTCTTCTTGAATATAAGACACTAGGCCATATTCATAATTGATCTGTTTTTCCTCTCACAAACACCTTTTTCCTAAGGATTGTATGGTATTGTGAGTTGGTGTTTTATGCCATGGCTCTTCAAGAAATCCTCAAACTGGAGTGAGGTATATTCACCACCATTGTCTGTTCTTAGAACTTTCACTGACTTGCCAATCTCATTTTCAACTACAGCTTTAAATTGCACAAACTTGTTAAACACTTTTGACTTTTGCTTCAAAAAATAAACCCAACACATCTTGCTAAAATTAGCAATTAACAGTAGAAAATATTTGCTCCCATTGATAGATTCTATTTTCATAGGGCCACAAATGTCAGAGTGTATCAATTGTAATGGTTCTATAGCCCTTCAATTACTTTTCTTTGAAAAGTTTTGACAAACATCTCACACAGAACCAAAATCTTCTATTGTAGGTAAATCAGCAACCATTTCATGTGAATGCATCAGTTTCAATGAATTGTAATTATAATGGCCAAATCTTTTATGCCAAATTTCATATTCATCAACAATACTAGGATACGCATGCACCTTAGTATGCTTCCATTCCATTAGAAAACTCCTATCAGACATCTTTACCAAAAACAATCTAGTACCAGACTTATCAACAACCTCACACATTTTATCATGAAAATTTAGAACATAACTATTCTTCAATAATTAGCCAACATTGATCAAATTATGACTTATATCAAGTACAAATAACACATCATGAATATATTTAATACCTATAAAAGTCTTTATTGTCGCTACACCTTTGCCTTTCACTTGCACCAAATCTCCATTTCCTAATCTGATTTTGGAGGAGCAACTTCTGTCATTGCTTTTGAAGATACTCAAATTTTGTGTCATATGGTTTGTGCAACCACTATCAATTAACCATAAATCACCATTCACTATAGCGACACAATTCTTCTCAACCTTTGATGCCATGAACAACTTCTCTTCATCTTCATCAACAATTTCAGCAACTTTAGCTTGCTACACATGATCTTCTTGTTGCTTGCAGACCCTTTCAACATGACCAAACTTCTTGCACTTTCTACACTACACTCCTGGTCTAAACAAGCAATGATAATCCAAGTGACCTTTCACTTGAAAATTGGAACAAAAAAAGGTGTTGTCCTTTCTCCCTTTGAACTTGCTATACTAGTACTCTCTCTTTTCTTTTCCTTTCCTATTGTTGAGCTGCTTTTTACCTCCACCTATCACCTACGTGTCATCTTCTTTCAATTGAGCTTTTCCTTTTTCTGTCACAAGGAAAGCTCCTTGAGACATGCTTTCTTGTCTAATAGCCTTTCTTTGCTCAACAACTTGAAGAGAACCAACAAGCTCACTCAAAGTCATCTTTGAAAGATCCTTTGAATCTTCCAATGAGGAGATTTTATGTTCAAATTTTTTTGGTAGGCTGGCAAGAACTTTTTCAACAACCCTTTTGTCTTTGAGTTCTCCACCAAGTACCTTTATTTGGTTCACCGTCTTCATCACTCGATTTGAGTATTTCTTCACTGTCTCTGTTTCTTTCATCCTCAACACCTCAAACTCCCTTCTCAAGTTAGTAATCTGGATCTCCTTGCTTTTTTGATCTCCTTGGAACTCTTCTTTGATTGTGTCCCAGGCTTCCTTAGCTATCTCACAAGTAATAATTTTGTTGAAAATTTCATTTGATACAGTTCCATGGATACACGTAAAAGCCTTGTACCTCTTTGTAGACTTTTCTATATACCTCTTGATTTGATTCAAGGTTGGGTTTTCTAGCAAGGCTATATGTTCCCTATCATTTTCAACAACATTCGAAAGATCAAATGCCCTTAGCTAGGCCTTCATCTTCACAAACCAACAAAGTAGTTTTGGCTTGTAAAGTATGGAGTTTTGGGTGTGAAATTAGAAGGTTACATGGTTGAAATCACTCCCTCATGCGTTTACACTCAGTCGATACGATTCCTCCAAGAATAGAAGTGCTCTGATACCAATTGTTAGTTTTTGAAAAAAGAGATGAAGATCTTATAAGTGCAAAATTGAAATTTTCCATGGAACAAATATGCCTTTTACAAGGAAATAAAAGAAACTGATAAAAAACTGATAAAAACTGAAATTTAACTGCACTACTTTGAAGAAACAAACTGATCATAAAACAAACAAATAACTGCTAAAAAAAACTATAAAATAACGTGATAACATTTGTGTCACTGTTAGGATCCATTCCTTGCATTGCTGTTTTCAATCAGAGCTTGAGAGATTAGTAGCTGCTTCGTGACAAGATCTCTTGTGAAGAAAATCAACCAATGTTCCAAAAATGGATTCAAGTCAGTGTGTTCAATTATAATGTATGGAAGAATTGTATGGAATCTTATCCTATTGCAATTCTTGGAGAATCAACTAGCAAATGCCTCACAAGTAGATCGCTCTATTGCTCCCTTTATTTTGAGAATTAATAATCTATGTTTAGAATTTTCAATTTTGGATCTAGACAAGCCTATCTCTAAAGTTTGTATGAAGCGACATATCATTCTAGGTTAAAGCCAGACTACATATGTCACCTCAATTCCAAGGTGGGCTCAACAACCATCCTTGGAAGAATTTGAAAGTCTCTTATCCTTATAAGAGTCTTTGGCCAAGCAAATGGCATGTTTATTTGTGACTAATCAAGTCAGTGGTGCTAACAATAAAAATATCCTTGTAGCTAAGAAAATAAAAAATTTTAACTCAAAAGAAAAGAAAGATGGTGTAGAATCTAGTAATGATGCCTTTGATTCTTTAAATTTCAAGAAGAAAAAATTTAGATGCTATTGATGTGGTAAACTTGGACATGCGAAGAAAAATTATTGTTTCAAGTTGAAGCAAGGGAACTAGGTTGAAGATGAAGGTGGAGATAAATAGGATTCTTCTTAAAGCTATGAAGAAGACTAGGGCAAGTGTTTCATGGCCATAATTGTGTCCAGTTCTACATCAATGGACTTTAAGAATGATTATATCATGGATTCTAGTTGTGGTCATCATGTGACTGGTGATGCTTCAAAGTGCATCAAAGTTTTCAAGTCTTCATACTCACAAAGATGAAGATGCAATTATCACAGTTGACAATTGGGTTCACTCCATGGAAAAGGAGGGACGATTATTATAAATGAAAGCAAGGACAATTCCATTACACTCAATAATGCGTATCATGTCCTAGGTATGACAAAAAAATCTTTTCTCAATTACAAATGCTATAGACTTTAGCAATTATGTCTTATTTGGCCCTCATGATTTGAAATTTCTTCGAAATGTTGAAGAATTAAAAGTTGATGTTATTCACATTGGTAAAAGAGTTGATGATGTGTATGTTTTATTAACTTCAACATCCTTTGTTGAGAAGCTAAATGGGCATAATAATGCTTTTGTATGGCATGCTCATCTTGGCTATATGAACATGAATAAATTGAGAATTATGGTGCAAAAAGAATTAGTCAAAGGGTTGCTGAACCTAACTAGTTTTAGTGAGGGTGGAAGTTGTGAAGATTGTCAATCTGGGAAGGCTCATAGGCTCTCATTTGAGAAGTCTTTTTCCAGGTGCAAAGCTCCATTAGATTGCATTCAAAGTGATTTATTTGGGCCAATTCCCACTCCTTCTTATTCTAGCTTTCACTATATGTTGATATTTGTTGATGATTTTCAAGATTCACCTAGGTTTATTTTATGAAAGAGAAATCATAAGTTTTCCTCAAATTTCAAGAGTTCAAGGAAACTGTTGAATGAGCTTTTGGAAGGAAAATTGAATTGCTTCAAACTAGCAATGGAGGTGAATTTACTTTTAATGCTTTTAATTCCTTTTATTGTTGAGAAAGAATAAAATGGGAACTTTCTATTGCTCACACTGTATAACAAAATGGAGTGGTAGAGAGGAAAATTAGACATCTCATGGAGACTTGCAAAAATCTAACAGAAAATTATGGGTAGAAGGAATGACACACATAGCTTATATGATCAATCGAGTGCCACTTAGTCCATCCAACATGAAGTCTCCCTGTGAGTTGATGTTTGATGTAAAGCCTAGTATTAAGCACTCTAGAATTTTTGGCTTTATTTGCTATGTCTATGCGCCAGATTCTCAAAGAAACAAGTTTGAAACTAAAGCTAAAAAGTGCATTTTTGTTGGCTATTATAAACAAAAGAAGGGTTGGAAATGCATAGATCCTATCTCTCACAAATTTGTTGAGTCAAGAGATGTGGTTTTTCATGAAATTTCATTCTACTATGGTTTTAATAAGGATTTTGAGCTTGAGGTTACAAGTTTGCCTTCCACTTCAATTTTAATTCTTCTATTTCATAGGAAAAGCATAAAGAAAGGGGAAGCTCTAGTTCAAGTGCAAATGGGGAAAAACAAAAAGAGAATGAAGCTACTAATGAAAGACCAAAAAGGAATATTGTCAAACCAGCCCGCTATCAAGATGAAAATTTTACAAACATTTACTCTTGTTTCTTTGCAGAACCATTAGATGAACTACCTTTGTATTTTGAAAAGACTAAAGGTGTCAAAGCATGGGAGGATGCAATGAATGAAGAAATGAATGCACTATTTAAAAATGAAAGTTGGGATCTTGTTCCAAAACCAAAGGATGTATAGTTTGTTTCTTGTAAATGAGTTATAGAACTAAGTGCAAGGCTGATGGGAGCATAGATAGATATAAAGTAAAGTCAGCTGCTCATGGAATTTCTCAAAAGTATGGAGAAGATTATGAAGAAACTTTTAGTCTTGTTACCAAGATGACTTCTATTTGCATAATATTAGCTCTTGCAACCTTTTGAAATTGGAAATTATGGCAGCTGGATGTGAAAAATGCTTCTCTATATGGAGAACTTGACAAAGACATTTATGAAAGAAAACTTAAAAACAAGGGATGTGAAGAATACTGAATCTGTATTCCTTTTTCTATATATATTTTTATCAGTACAGCATTGAGAGATATATATATATACAGAAATATATTTGTATCTATCTATCTGCGCCTGATATTAAGCTTATGAACGTTGCCATAACTTTGCCTTTGATTTTGGTGAGATAGTTTCCCTTTCTTTCTTGATGATTGTTTCCTTATCTGATTCAAGTTTTAATTCCTCAGATTCTGGTTTTGATTCCTCAAGCTTAGCTTCCTTCTTCACACTCCCCTCAAACTGGATTGGGGAACCAATCTAAGTTTGAATCGTAAAAGCTAATATTGAGTTCGAGGTAGGGGCTTTGTGAGGATGTCAGCAATCTGATCAATGCTTGGTATGTACCTGGTTATGAGTGTACCAAGTGCCACTTTTTCTCGAACAAAATGATAATCCAACTCAATATGCTTGGTCTGAGCATGAAACACAGGGTTAATGGACATGTGAAGAGCACTGAGATTATCAGAAAAAAGTTGAGGAGGATGTGGAAGGGAAATGCCAATATCACGGAAAAGGTAAGTAATCCATACAATCTCTGCTGTGGTTGATGCCAAAGCTCTGTATTCTGCTTCTGCAGAGGAACGAGCAATGGTGGGTTGTTTCTTTGAAGACCATGAGATACAATTAGCTCCGAGGAAAATGCAGTAACCTGTTGTGCTTCTCCTTGTAAGTGGACAGCCTGCCCAATCTACATCACAGAACCCTGTTAGGGAGAACGTGCTGGTAGAGTAGAATCGAAGTCCATGATGAAGGCTCTCTTTGACATATCTTAGAATCCTTTTGACTTGGCGGAAATTGGCAATCATCGGTTGTTGCATAAACTGACATACTTTATTAACAGCATGGGCAATATCTACTCTTGTAATAGTTAGGTACTGAAGTGCACCCACAATCCTTCTGTACTCTTGTGGATCAACCGGTTCTTCATCTCGTAAGGTCGTAGTCTCCTTGACAGCCATTGGTGTAGCGATTGTAGAAGCCTCAAGCATGGAGGCTCGTGTAAGGACATCATTTGCATACTTACTTTGGGATAAAAATATGCCACCAGAGAACTTTTCAACTTCTATCCCTAAGAAGTAACTAAGGGAGCCAAGATCCTTAAGGGCAAACTTCTCACTAAGATTCTCAACAATGTGTTGTAGTAGTGTTGTAGAGCTCGCGGTAAGCACAATATCATCCACATAGAGAAGTAGTAAAGCAGTGTGATGATCCTTATGGAGTACAAATAGGGAGGAATTTGCTCTACTACAACAGAACCCCATTGTCAGTAAGTAAAAGGTGAATGTATCAAACCAGGCCCGAGGTGCTTGTTTGAGACCATAGATTGACTTGTTAAGCTTGCAAACATACTCGGGGTGACTTGGGTCCTTGAATCCAGGTGGTTGTGTCCTGTAGACTACTTCCTTGAGCTTGCCATGAAGGAAGGCATTCTTTACATCGAGTTGGCGTAAAGGCCATGATAAAGTTGTAGCAATGGCAATAACTAGACGCAGGGTGGTTGATTTAAGAACAGGGCTGGATGTTTCATCAAAATTTACACCAGGTATTTGTGAGAACCCTTTTGCAACTAACCGTGCCTTAAATCTGTCCACAGTCCCATTTGGCTTGAGTTTTGTCTTAAAAATCCATTTTGAGCCCACAATGTTTTCCTTGGATGAAGGTGGAGGAACTAGTGTCCAAGTGTTATTCTTATGAAGTGCCTCAAGCTCTTCTTGCATTGCCTTGACCCACTGTGGAAGTTGTAATGCTTGTCTCACAGTTTTTGGTTCTTTAGCGTCTAAATCTGCATTAGACAAAGAAGAAATATCGGTGGTCATGGTGTAAGCATGTTTTGAAAAATCAGTTTTGATATGACCAGTATGCTTCCCTGCTCGAGATCTTGTTATCATAGGATGAGTGGAAGTTGATGTAGCACTGTGTGGCGGAGGTGGGATCCCTTCACAGCTTGAGCTAGAAGCCATGCCATCTTGTCTTAATTCACCTTCATGAGGTTGTTGAGAAGTGGAAAATGATTGTTCCGAGTTGAACACCTCATTGGTTTGGTGAGGTTCTGCCTCTTCTTGAGAACTAAGAGTTGGGGTATCAATAGTCTGAGCATTGTTGTTGGTGAGAGTCTTATGCACTATATCAGATTGAGTATTATCTCTCTTGATTTGCTCTTCTACGAACACCTCGTTCAAAATATTTGTTGCATTGGCATTAACATTGGTTGGTTCGTCCTCAGGACCATCAATGTCAATGTTTATGATGTGTTGATGCTGAGAGGGCATAGACACATGCTCTTCTAGTTTTGAGGGTTGTAGATGAGAGAAACTCTGTATCCATTCATCATGGTTTGGGTATTTGCAGAGTTCACCACCTGTACTAAAAACACTTGAAACGTTTGTTAAATCATTATATGGAAGAAAATGTTCATCAAACACAACGTGCCTAGAAATATAGATACGCTTTGTAGGTGGGTGCAAGCACTTGTATCCCTTGTGAATGGAACTATATCCAAGAAACACACATGGTAAGGACCTTGGTTGGAGCTTATGAGCAGCATGATCTCTAAGATATGGAAAACACCTACATCCAAAAACTTTAATCATGGAATAGTCATGTATTTTACCATATAACAGAAAGTAGGGTGTTTTGTTTTGCAAGGTGGGTGTAGGCATTCGATTTATAAGAAAGATTGCTGTAGAAAAGCTGTCAACCCAATAACATGGTGGCATGTTGGCATGGAGTAACATGGTTAATCCTGTCTCAACTATATGTCTATGCTTCCTTTCTGCAACACCATTTTGTTCAGGGGTGCCAGGACATGATACCTGCTGTTTAATGCCACAAGTTGCTAAATGATTTATGAATATCTTGCTGGAAAATTCTCCACCACCATCGCATTGGAAAATTTTGATACTTTTATTGAATTGATTTGCTACCATCCTTTGAAACTTCTGGAAAACATCAAAAAAGTCAGATTTCCTATGAAGAGGGTAAAACCAAGTGAATCTACTATAATCATCAACAAAAATGACATAGTAAGCAAAATGATTAGTAGATTGAACAGGAGAGGGTCCCCATAAATCACAATGTATCTTTTGAAACAAACTTTCAGCTTTTTCGTTATTCTTAGTGAAAGGAAGTCTGCAACTCTTCCCCATTTGACAACTAGAGCACAAGTTAGGGGGTTGAGTCCATTTTGATACCACAATATTCTTTTTAGAAGCTAAAGCCTTACGCACGTTGGAGTTTGGATGCCCAAGTCTTTGATGCCAAATAGAGTCTGTAGCCTTATTTGAGATAGCTGCCAGGGCATGTTTTTCTCCTTCCTCCAGTGCATAGAGTTGTCCTTTTCGAGTTCCTTTGGCCAGCACAACCTGTGTTACTTGGTCCTTAATCACAAAGCCATCAGATGAGAATTCAAAAATGCATGGATTTTCATCAGTAAATTTACTAACTGAAATGAGATTTTTCTTGAGTTCAGGAACAACAAGAACATTATTAAGATTTAATGCACCAACAGATGTAGAGCCAACATGAGAAATATTCAATGGAGTACCATCACCTGTGAGAACCTTTTGATTACCGTAATATGGTCTTTTAAAATAGAATTTACCTGAATCTGAAGTCATATGATCAGAGGCACCAGTGTCAATATAGTAATTTGGATCTTTATCTTTCATCAAGGTGAGTGCTGTTAGTGCTTGGGGAAGTTCTTCACTTTGATAGGCATGGTCAAATCTATACCAACACTTTAGAGCAGTATGTCCATCAATTCTGCAAATTTGGCACACATTCTCACCTTTTCGAGATAAGTTTTTCTACCGATCTTTTTGGGCCATGACTTGTGATGTTGAATTATTGTTGGTTATGGTCCCTTTGTTGTTACTGGACCAGTTGTAATCGTAGTTGCCAGCCTGAACAAAACCTCTACCTTGTGAATTGAAGTTCCTGCCACCATATCCTCTGCCACGTTGGCCTCTTCCCCTCTGTGCCACAAATACTTGAGCATCTGCTAGAGTTTTATCCTTACTTTCTTGCTCAGCTACCTGCAAGTCTCGATCATTATTTTGTAAACCTGCTATATACTGATTAAAAGTAGGGTATGGTGCCTTTGATAGTACTGCTAGATTGTAGGATTGAAACCGTGTTCCTACTACCCTGGATAAGTGAAATACTTTATCCAAATCATCAAGGGGTTTGCGGATTGCAGCAAGCCTATCACAAACTCCCTTGAACTTTCTTATGAAGTCTTCAAGAGACTCATTATCTTCTCGTTTGGTCACCAATTGCCCTTTGAGATAGAGTTCCTGTTCCTTAGAGGAGACAAGGTAATGTTCCTCGAGGCATCTCCAGATTTGGTTTGCTGTATCACAGCCCACAACTAGACTCAGTGCTTCTTCATTCATGGTTCCGAGTAACCAGCTCATAAGCAATCCATCATTGTTCAACCAGATTTCATAGTCTGGATTGGATTCTTTGTTCCCATCCTCTGTGAGATTCATGGCAGGGGCTTCCTTTTCAAGATGATGGAGAAGTTGAGCACTTCGAATTAGAGGGAAGACCTGAGATTTCCAGAGCAAGAAGTTGGTATTTGAAAGCTTGACCGAAACCAAACTTGCCATTTGGTGAAAGCTTTGAATGGTAAGCCTAGTCCTAGTCGTTGTCATTTTTCTGATTTGAGGATTGTTTTGATTGAGTAATTCAAGCAAAGATTCAAATGAAAGGGACGAAGGATTAAAGTATTCAGATGCAGATGTTAACCTGCTCTGATACCATGAAAGAAAACTTAAAAACAAGGGATGTGAAGAATACTGAATCTGTATTCCTTTTTCTATATATATTTTTATCAGTACAGCATTGAGAGATATATATATATACAGAAATATATTTGTATCTATCTATCTGCGCCTGATATTAAGCTTATGAACGTTGCCATAACTTTGCCTTTGATTTTGGTGAGATAGTTTCCCTTTCTTTCTTGATGATTGTTTCCTTATCTGATTCAAGTTTTAATTCCTCAGATTCTGGTTTTGATTCCTCAAGCTTAGCTTCCTTCTTCACAATTTACATGGAGCAACCACCAAGCTATGCTTCAAATTCTCATCTAGACTTTGTTTGCAAACTCAAGAAAACTCTTTATAGGCTAAAGCAAGCTCCAAGAGCCTAGAATGGAAAACTTTCTCAATATTTCCAATTTTGTGGTTATCTAGCTTTAGATTTTGATCATAGTTTGTTTGTGAAGAAGTAGTCAAATTTGCATATTATAGTTCTATTATATGTGGATGACATGATAATAATAGGAAATAATGAAGAAGAAATAGCAAGACTACAAGAAGTGCTATCTATCCATTATAATATGAAATTTTTGGAGGAGCTAAATCATTTTCTTGGTTTAAAAGTCGAAAATTTGTAAAATGAAATTTTTGTAACTCAAAGAAGCTATGCAAAAAAGCTTGTTGCAAAGTTTAGCTTGAAGTAAGGAAAAAAGCGCTTCACCCCACTTGATGTCAATAACAAGCTAACGCATGATAAAGGTTCCTTATTATCTAACCCTCAATCTTATCGTGCTCTTGTTGGAAATTTGATTTATTTGACTATAAAAAGGCTAGATATTGCATTTTCTGTTGGTCTTGTTAGTAGATTCATGCAAGCACCTTAAAAGCCATATCTTGAGGCAGTTAAAAAGATTTTGATGTCAATAACACCTTTGACATGAGATTGTTTTACAAGAAAGGAGCAAACTGTTGTCTACTTGGTTTCACAAATGCTGATTTTGGTGGAGATTTGGATGATCATAAGTCCACATCTAGTTATGCATTCTTGGGTGGTGGTACTGATATTTCAGGGTATAGTAAAAAACAAAGATTCAGTTTCTTTGTCAGGTATGGAAGCAGAATATAAGGCTTCGATTCTTGTAGCTTATGAATGTGTTTAGCTTCAAAGGCTTATTGAAGATCTCAATTCTTCTTTTAAAGGTTTAACTAGCCCTTACGAAGATTGTTCATGTTTTTCACAAAGAAAATGGAGAGAACATCGGTAGGAAGATGAAGAGCAGAAACCAACTAAAAAATGGAGAGAAAACCAGGAGGAGAATAAACGAAAATGG